TTATCATTGAGCATTTTATCTCTGTGTTTCCCTAACATCATCTCATCCCAGGCAGAATGAAGACTGCAGCTGGTATTTTTGAGGCCACTGCCTGCAAACTGGTGGATGCCTGAAATGCAGAAGGAAATCAGTATCTATCCCAGTGAAACCTGGAGCATCCCTGGGAAGACCCAGCTCAGGGCACACTGAAGCCCTGCCTCACACTGTTGACACAGGTGCACCATTATACTACCAGCTTTTCTGAAATGAGCGTGAGGCTCTGTGTAGAGACAGCTGCTGCTTCAACTTCTGCCATGTAGTTGTCAGACACCATTACTCCCAACTCCTCTGTTGCCATCAGCCATGCCTCTTCAATTGCAAGAAGCCCAAGGTATGCAGTATGTTCTTCAAGAGGCTTTTTTGTTCCAGGACTGAGAAAATTACACTTTTAAAGGTCCCCCTGTTTTGTACTTACTGGACAGATTTGGCAGATTCTGACACTGGTTTCCTGCAGTTTGCCCCAGCAGGCAGAAGGGGTGATAAGGTCACATGCACACCCAAAAGTTTTTGTACAGCTGCAGACTATGACACTATGACTTTTTTCTCACTATTATCTGACTTTTCTCTCTCAGAAAAGCAGTATGTACCTAGGACAGCATGGCTACCAAAAGCAGCCTGCCTGCCCTGATGAAGCACTCTTTCTGGTCTAGCTATCTTGCTGAGAGATGAGCAATAATACTAGCTGTACAGCTTCTACCTCTCAAACTGCCTTGGTATTAGTATTCCTACACAGAAGACCTAGCTCTGGTCATTTCATTAGGTTTTTCTGGGAATTCAGCCAGTATTTTGAACATTTTTGAAGGAGCTACACAATTTGCTTGGAAGCAGTTTGCTTTTTAGATGCTATTCCAAGAAAACAATGAAAGTGCAAAGAAATAGTTAGATGACATTTTAATAAGAGTATCTGATAGCCTAATGTTAATCCACAATTTCAGTGTGGCCATTCCAATGCTTAAAAATCATACTCACTTTACCCTGAATATGGCTAAATTAACCAAAATTGCTTGACTCTACATTAAAGCAAAGCATTAGAGTCTGAAGCTTTCTATTAATAAAAGAGCACTTACCTGTAATCATAGTTAGAGCTGATAGACTTGCTAAGGCTGGGATATCAAGGTTAAGGCTCTTTAAGTTTAAGGAAAAGTCTTTAATAGAGTCGAGCCACTCCCCAAATCCACGAAGGCACTGAAGTCTATGAAGCACAAGTCCATTGCAGAATACAAACTTATCCTCAGCAGTATCAGACCTCAAATAAAAACAATTGAAAAAATTATAAGTGCATCTTCTACTTTAGAGCAAAATGCATAACCAGTATTGAAGCGTCTGTCATTTAAAATCCAAGGCATATTATCCTGAGACATATGTGGGCATTCACGTTTGACAATATGCTTCTCCCTTGGGGCCAAAGTACAACAAACAAGCTTACTTGGTAGAGTTATAAGCCTGAGGTTAGCTGTAGCATGTGGTGTAGACTGTCTAATTAGTTAAGATTTTGGTCCTGCCCAAAGGCATAAACAGAGAAGACATTTTACATTAAATACTGTATGTTTGAACCAAAGGAATACTAAGTGAGTGCATTTTGAAATACAAAACTAATAAAAAGAGAGATTCTGCAACTCGCAGCATTCACTTAGTATCATCCACATTTTTCAGACTGTAAAAATTGATAAGGAAAAAACAATGGAAGATGCATGCACTAGTGCACCACAATACATGTAACAGCATAAACTCTTTTATAACAAAACCTGTGCATAATAGAGAAATTACAGCCAAGCTCTCCTCTCCCTCCCCTCCCCATTGCCAATATCCCTATTAAAAAACACATGCGAAAGTCACTTTCAACCTAAAGTAACAAGGGCATAATTTAAATCACCAGTCTGCAATTTACCCAGTCCCTGAAAGCGTTTTTGGCAAACTGTCTAACTAGTGCTAGACTGACAAGTAGCATCTCACTCTATTAAATGACTTGGTATTAAGAAGCAAAACAATCTGAACAAGATTTTAACTCTTCCTCACCACCCTTTTCAAAAACAGATGACAAAGATGTGCATGTGCAAAAGGAGGGAAAGAAAAAACTTTTCATGCTGAAAGTGCTTTTCTATAGTGCTTGCTTATGAGTATGAAGCAGACATGCTCAAACAGTACCTGAGGATCAATTTTGATTACTATGTAAGAAGATGGTGTAGATCAAATAAAAAGCAGCACATTAGCGAGACCTATGCTCGCTTTTTAAATCACTTTCTTGGTTTTTTTTTTTTTTCTGCAGTGTAAAACAAATTAAACACCATATCCTCTGGATGTAGACTTTTTTTGTGCTTTTCTCTTTTTCATACAATTGACCATGTTCAAAGATAGCACCATATTTGTTCCTTTAAAATATTTAGATGGATGATTTTTCACATCAGCTTAAGAGGAAGTGAAATGAATAGTTACCTGATGGAGAGTCTTAGTACAAACAGCTCCAAAAAAGCTGATTCTATGAGTAATGTCTGATCTTCTTTTGGGAGGTCAGTAAATCCTGGGATTTTTTCTGCCCAGCCTCTAGTTATGTCAATGGAGGCAGTCAGAAGATTATAGAACTGTTGTACATGTTCTGCATCTGTGCCTGCAGCAGCCTGATCAGTGGAACAGTACTAAAATGAAAGCCACAGAAAGCAACGTTATATGCATTTAAGGGCACTCTGTGAAACATACAGCATTATTTGCCCGACAACATTTCCTTCTGTGGCAAAGCTGGTATTATTAACAAAGACATAAGAAGTAGGTCTACATCTATCTACTTATTTGGCTACCTACAGGCATTTTGCTATTCAGATACACATTGCAAAAAACATTTCCATATATATAGAAATAATTTCAAATTTACAACTAAAATATAGTATCACATTTCACAATTATATATATGCTATTAGTAAACAGAAACCTGGTGGCTAGGATAATTTGCATCACACTAGAAGAGGAATACTATTTGGCTTACTACAATTAAACACTTTTCCCATTGATGAATTTGTCTCAGCATGTCCAAAATGTAGATTTCTTCCAAAAGCTCTCAAAGTGCATTTTATCTGACAGTGATGGAGACATGCAAGATAAATCATGTTTTATCTGACACATGCAGCATTGCCTCATTTGAATACTGAATTGGTTCAAAGTAAACCAGCTGCCCCGTATCACCTCTTATCCTTCAAACTGAA